CCTTAAGAAACTGAGCATGTGAGTGTGTTACAGTAGGTCGCTCTTACACAAAGAGTTGTGGGAGTATGGAACAACAACCCAGCAAAGCTGCTAACATACTTGACCCCTTTCTAGAAGCAGCTGGGTGAGAAGCTCGGTAACTTGGCTACTAGCAGCCTCACAGGCTAGACAAGCCGAACCGTCTTTTCTTATCGTCAACCTTTAATTTTCTGATGAAAACCCCGAAGCAGGTATCGACGTTAATGGGCCTCAGGCGCAAGCCCTTGTCAGCACTCTTATCCTGCAATGTGCTTCCAGAGGAGAGGCCAAGAATGAGCCCCGTTTCCACTGCGGCATGAAGCAGAGTAGAAAGTTCACACTTCAGTTACCTTAAAGCACACAGCATCAATCACCACAAACAGAAAAGGGCAGCTCAAACCCCATATACGGAAATATGGCTTAGACCAAGTTGTTTTTAGCCCGATTTTCAGAATGTAACAGCGTGGCACAGATACATCGGTTACAGCATGACCTGGATGGAGGAACAGAAGACCTTGGTTTATCAGTGCTCCAGATATTCAGTGAACCAGTCAACGCTGATAAAACACCCCCAACGATGCGATAAAAAACTCAATGAAATCTGTGTTTATCTGTATCAAACGGTTTCCACTGGCCTCTACCCTTCCCAGTGTAATTTTCTAGACAATCCTTTGCTCCCATCCCTTCGACATCTGCCGTGCTCTGAAGGTAGTACAGACCCGCCCCCCCCGCAAGCTTTCTGAATCCACTGCAGACACTGCACTTGCATGTGCATTTCAAAACACACCTGTCGTGCAAGAGAACCAGTCACACCCCAGGACACCACTGGGCCTGTGATCACAACTGTCTTCGGACAACAACAAAGTAAAGAAGAAACTCGTGTGCCGGCAGCATCCGAGTAGGAGTTCCCACGGATTTGTTTTCGCCGACCGCATCCCGCCAGTTTAGAAATCTGAGCTCCCGGGCAGCTGGAGAAGTGGTGGCCCGAAACAACAAGAATCTACCTGCCATCTTATCAGGAAGCCCTGGCAGTTCTCCACAGAGCCGAAGCTTGACGATCCAGCCCATCAGCACGCTATGAATAGCTCCACGTTTGAAAGGGTGGCCAGGATTTACATATATTAAGCGCCGCATTTCCATAAAAACCAAAAGGAATCAAGAAGAGAGATAAAATTCCTTAGATGTGTCTGTCAAAACCGCTTTGTTCCCTGCACAGTAATGTCTAACGTTCCTACCTCCACTAAATCTCACCTTTCCTTCTTAAAATACTAGAACCCGAAAAAACCCCCACCGTACCTGGACCGCAAATCTAGGACTTCGACGGGCGGACCCACAGATCCATCCGAAGAGGACGCGGTGATAAAATACGTGACATGTTATCACCCATTAAGGGGGGAGGGTTCCACACACTTTGAATCGCAAGCAGTTCCTCTTTGTGCTCTGGGTTTGGAAATGAAAAGCGGAAGAAGCCGGAGGAGCTGGAGCGCTCAGTCCATCACACGCTGGCCCGCAGACAGGGCCGATGGGAACAAGCTGCAAGCAGAGCAGACCGATAAGACAAGGTCATCATACCGACACAGGGGGACTGACAGGCAGCATGGGGATAACCTGCACCAGCCAATAACTGGTGCAGTTCCAAGCCAGCAGTGGAAAACACAGTGGTATAAAGGTATAGGAAAAGAGTAATTAACAATTCCCAAGGAAACAAAACAATAATAAGGGCCGTTCAGGTGTGGTGACGCAGCACGGCTCGGTGTGGTCCCCACACCTGCTAGTTTTCACTCCATCTGCGCAGTCAATTAAACAACTGGCCCCTTAACAGACCTAATAACAGGTTTAATCTGAACTCTTTAATGTTCCTAAACACGTAGGGGCTTGCTGCTTTATTACGGCAGTTCATAAGTAACTGGAGATCTCCCAACTTCTGAAGAGAGGAAAAAAAAAAACTTTCAAAGGTTGCCCAACCAAGCAGCTTCCTGGTTCAGAGCTCGAAATGTTTCTGCTTCACAAGTCTTCCATCGCCAGGGACAAATGATGTCTGAACACTGTCCCCTTGTTTGTTTCCAAGTCAATACCGAAACCCGGCCCGGCGCTAGGTTTCTCCCCTCGGAGAAGTGACAGTTTGTTAATCATCGACTCCGGAAGACTGACCACAGAGCCAGAAAAACCCTTCTGTGAGCTTCCACATACAGAGAGAAGCACCGCACTGCATCTCCTTTTCGGCCTCCTCCTCTGTGGTCCCACTGGTGAATGACCTCAAATGTGAAGTCCAAAATATCCACAGTGTCTGGAAACACTGCCTTCAGGAGCGCCGTGAAAACCTTTCTACAGTCTGCAATATCTGGCTTCAAGCTGGGACATGTAAAAGACACAGCAGAGGCTAAAGATCACAAGGTCGGGAGCCTCTGTGGAAAACGGAGAAAAGCCAGATTTAACTATCTCCATTCGAAAGAGAGTGTAAATAGAGAAAGGGTGAGGAAAGAACTCATGGAAGAAAGGGAAGACAATTTTGCACATAACCAGGCAAATAACGCACAGGAAGAAACAACTCTGTGTCTGTTTAACAAAGCAATCACTTGTGAGTTTCACAGCATTAAGCAAGAGCAGGTTTCTCTTATGATTTATGCAAACAGCATTAAAAAAAAATGAATACATCTTCAGAAGCACATCATTCCCCTGCAGGAGAGGCTGTTTACAAGTCATTTTCAAGACTAAAGTTTTGTCAGCACATATCGTTTTTAAGCACTGAAATAACACCATGGAAGCTTTCTGAAACAAAGTCTCCTTTCTTGTAGCATCTGCTGTGATTTCATCCCTATGTCTTCATCACTCAGTCTGCATTATCTCCAGACTTCACTGTCAGCTAATGCCGACATGACCTCCTCCGAACCTGCCTCACTGCTGACAAAACTGTTCCTGAACTATCTGCCAAATTCCAGACACAATTTACTAAAAACTGCCGAGGAGGAGTTTAAAGCAGCAGCCAAAATCTGGTCAGAAAAACGCCTTCAACAATTGCAAAAAAACTGGTCGACATCATTCCTGGAATTTAAGTGCGAAAGACAATTCGGACATAATTATAATTTCTCCCCTCTCAGTCAGAGACTGGTGGGTGTCCTGAATTCCACACAGTATCTGCTGGTTCCCGGGGATCCCCTGAAACTACGGAACAGGAAAGGCAGGAGCTCTTGAGACAATCCAGTAGGAAGAGAATGAGCATCACTGGGCCAAAAGCTCACTAGCAACTTTTCTCATATGACCTTTGCTTGCTAATACCCCTGCAAAACTAGTCACTCAAACTATCCAATGTCCATAAATAACACAACTGTCAAAGAATGCACAGGATGTGAATGTAATGAGATCAGAAATTCTTCTCCGTGTGACCTGCAGGAACATCGCTGCACTCGCTTCCAGTTAAAAAAACAGACTGGTTTTAAAATTCTTCATGCTTTTATAGAAATTCACGACTCTGATCCTTCATACTAGTAAAGCAGGCAACCTGTTAATTAACACTTTAAAAGCAGGACTGCTTTTATTTTCAGAACAATAGCATCTAAATTGTGTGACCACTCAGATGTCAATGTCAACACAAGGAGATATACCGTGTGGGGTGTTCGATTTGCCCCGGATGAAAACAATTGTCCTTTCTTTTTTTTTTACCCAGCAGGTTCATCCCGAAATGCCAGTGGAAATTTCTGCATTGATTTTGTTGAAAAGAAAACTCTGATTTGACATGCCGTCATCCTCCGGGTGCTTTTGAAATCTGGCTCACGAACTCATCGGACACACACGGCAGATTCCTGGAACCGCAGTGCCAGCCCTTCCGATGACACACGACACACGGAAGACACCGCCAGGGTGTCTGAGCAAATCGGACAGCTTCTCCTCGGTCCCAGATACAGCCGAGAAGCAGAGCTAAAGGGCTTCCAGCTGAGCGAGCCAGCGGCTCCCAGCTGCAGTAGTTGCAGCTCTTGGACGTGGCCTTTACTTGACTTAGCTCTTCTCTTCCTGCTGCACTGAGGGCTGGGTTGATGGTCCCGACACCGTCCTTACCGCGAAGCTGGTGCCGTGCGGGGACAGAGTCCTGCAAGCCGGGTCGGACCAGAAACGGGCCCGCCGGCCAGCGGCATGCTTCGGGGGCCACTCTCGAAGTAAAGAGGGAGCAGCGGGCCGGGCCTTGCTGGGATAACGCGGTATTTCATCCAACATCGCCACTTTGATGTCTGCCATGCAGGCCCAGTCCAGCTGCTCCGAGAGCAGCTGGGATTTGGCACTTTTCCTTAAGATTTCCTTCTCGTTATAATCCCTCATTAAGCCTCTTCTCCAAAGGAGCCCTGAGAAACAGGCGGGTGGGAATGACATTCACTGAGACTGCCCCAGCGGCAGCGGCCAGGCAGCCCGGGGAGTAAATAGTGAATGAAAGGGCTTCCAGAGCTTCCCCTGCACTATCTACACTCTCCTGACC